ATCAGCCTGCTTATCTAGCCTGTATGAATTAAACGCGGGGAGAAGGTGGAGCTCATACAGGAGCCCAATTGCTGCAGCCGCTGTGCACGTACGATCCCAGGATGGTTGGGGTCTGCGCTAAATCACAACATCAAGATATAACCAAGGTTGAAAAAATCGCTAGGCGCCTGGGGACCGCCTAGGGCGATTAATCGGCACCTAGAGCGCCTAGGGCACCTAGGTGGCCGATCGCCTAGCGCCGATTAATCGGAGCCTAGGCCCGATTTTTGCTACACTGGATATAACATACTCGAGGAATATCGTAACATGTTTAGGTAGAAGATGGTTTACTAGTATCTCTTACCTCAGTCTATGCATCATGGATACGCCTGTGTTTAGTGATATACAGGGAAGCTCCTCGCCCCAAATTGACATGGCTCGTTCCTGTGCACAAGCCGTTTCAGACCAATAACTATTATTTTTCGAGAAAAAGAATTCCAACTATGTTTTTCTCACCTATTGATACTTCATAGCTATTAATAATATGAAACGATATTTGAGTTTTCTGCTGGAATACCTTCAAACGGTTGAACATTGCATTAGAATTGCTCCAAGTGCCATCCAGCAGAATAAAGTTCAACACATCATCATAATTTGCCTACAATACAGCAGTATAGAACATAATTACCCCATAAAATAAAAACTAAGATATATCAAGGTCAAATCAACTCATATAGCCGCTCCAGCAAACAGAGAGATTTACAAGAACATTTTCATTGGTGGCAAATGGATGCTTTCTAACTATTACATTCATGACTGTCACTGACAGGAGTAAGATTTTCAAACAACCCAATTCTGTAGGAGAATAAAGATTGAATAAACTAAATATTCTAATAGGGGCATTATTATTGCCCACAAAAGGTGAAATTCCATCGCCCTCAGGGCCCCACACCCCGGCCTGACAGGATAGTGGAGGGGTAAATCACAGTGACTCAACAGCCCATTAGGTGGGAGGACCAGTGCTTGAGGCCACAAGGAGCCCACCACATTGGATGTAACTCCTACATTGTGGCTGCCAGGGTTCGATCCTGTGTCCTTGCCCAAAATCTACCACCTAGAAACCAACTGAGCTGCCCATGCGGGCCAGTAGAAGCATTATTATTGTCAGCAAGCACGACCTCATGATTTCAAATTCAGTTATTATGAGAGCGTAAGCAACAAATGCTGATTTTTTGGTGCATAAGATTTGCTGATAGACATGTTAGATATTACTGAATAGTCGGTAGCTATATACTGGTCCTCTTAATATAGCATCATATACTCATATCCCCTATATGTATATGAGTAGATAAATAAAAACATATACCATTTTTGGTTGGCAATCTCGATCTTCCAAAGGATTTTGGTAAAAGATATCCTTAACAGAACTTGGTGCAGCATTCTTATTAGGATAAAGACACCAAACCTTATCCTTCCCTGACAATATACAAAATCCAATAAGAAAAGAATAACATTAGATCAACCGGGACAAGCTTTACTAACATGTTAAAAAAAAAAAAAAAAACTGATGAGAACCTGCAAGTTTTAATGCATTCCACAACATTTCTTCGTGTTCCGAAATGCCAAATAAGCACAAAGTAGCAGCCTGAACACCAAATACTTGCCATAATAGTTTTCCTGTATTATTTTGGCGCAAGAAATCCTGCAAAAAAAAGGATCATTGTCTTTAATAGATCCATTTAATATGTTACAATCTAAAGAAAAGAACAATAAAAGGACAGACCTTGGGATGCATATACAACCAAAACCTTATATGGTGCCAAGGATGATAGGGTATGACTCTTGAACACATGCAGTCTTCCTTGGAAAGCCAGCACTGCAGAATTTTAAAGTGAGGAAATAGAGTTTTAAAACCAATAAACACATGGCTCCATAAAAGAAAAGCAATGTCGCATGGGCGTTTTCTACAGTTAAGGACTAAGAATCAAACAGATTGTACAGACTACTAACATAGAACAACAGAATTGAAGCTATCATCATAAATATAGATAATGCATATACCTTCTGACAAAGGTAATCTCTACTTCCAAGTACGCGGCATGCAATTTGTCGAGCTGAAAAGAACTGAAGCTTCTTTTCAGAATCTCCTAAGGACTTGAACTTTTCTCTATGTTTCTTATCTTCATGCACCTTGAAGTCTCCCTGATGATCAGAACAGATAACTGAACAATGATTCAGAGAACTGATTATAGAAAAGATTGTTTTTTTCTTTCTTTGAGAGTGGGGGAGGGGGACATGTGTATGTATAATGCTTATTTAGGAAATTATCAAATCCTTAGAATTGCTATACATAATTCCCTTCAAGAGGCATTTGAGTTTCAGCACACTAGACTTAAATAGAATCTTCTCAAAAATGGATATTTTTAAGTCAATACCTTAGCAGCCAAGAATAGAACGACAGAACCTACATCCAATCTTAATTTAACCATCAATATGACCACAAATTCCTTAAAACATGGGTTTATACAAGTCCATAGTAAATACAATCTACCACCATTGCACCCAAAATATACAAATTTCTTTAAAAACGAACACTTTAACCAGGAAGCACAGTCCAAAGATAACATTCAAAGAAATAAATGTAAAAAAACAAAATCATCTCATTTCGCATTCGTTTACAGTTGGAAAACAATTACCTAGAATATTCATACAAAAAGAATGGTGGGAGAAAGGAAAAATGTTATTTTTACCACAAGTTTTCCATGATTGCCTCCGAAATCCATGTGGGCATCAATGTTTTTCTCCAGTAACTTCAAGTCTTCAATGACCTCTACAACCATCGCGGGTACAGGGGAGGTGCTTCCCCAACCCTGCCATTCCTCAAGGCTAACGGAGGCTTCACTACCGCTCACCCTGTGAGCTCCTGTCGCGAAAGGGGAAAGAGAGGCGGTGGACAAGCGCGTCGCCTCCATGAATCTAGCGTTCCGGGGACGCAGGTGAAAGAGGACAGAGCCCTCGAAGCTGAAGAGGGCTTTAGAGGTAAAGATGAGCATTCTTGTGTGGGTGAATATCTAATTTTCGGGAGAAAAGTGCCATCTAAGAATTTGTAATACTTGACCTCTTCTTCTTTTTTCTTTTTTATTTTTCCTTTTTCTTCCAATATCAAGTAAAATATGCATATTGTTTTTTGTTTTTTTTTTTGAAAACTAAATTATGTATATTGTTAATTCAATATTCCTCGTGGAAATGAACACGGTTCAATTTCAAAATTATGATTTTATATTTACTGACTAGATCACAGAGTGAAATTTGTCTATACTTAAAAGGGTTGTAGGATTTTCTTTATATCCAAAAAAAAATTAAATTTGAGAGCTATAAATAATTTCAATTTTTAAAATTAGTGGTTTCTTGTGAGATCGTCTCATAAATCTCTTTTTTTTTGTAATGCTTTATTACATTGTAGTACCTATTAAAACATATTTTCTCAATCTAATGAAGCACAACACATTCTTACGCCTCCATTGAGACTTGATCTCATGACCTCCCACATGAGAAAAGTCACTACATGTCATATGAGGCTTGATCTCATGACCCCCACATGAGAAAAGTCACTACATGTTATATGAACACAAGGTGCTTGACACAAAAATTCATTCCCATGAACGTGTGACCATCATAACATCGGATGATACTGAGTAGTATAATCACATTTTGTTTGGCTTAACTTTAAGGTAAAGGATATGGTTAATAAAATAGTTAGTTTATAAGTCAATTTTGGCTTATTTGATCATTATTAGTTGTTTGACATTGTTTAAAAATTAATATAAGTATTTGGTTAATTAGTTTTTTGTACTCCAAAATGCTAAAATTCAAAAATCTACTCAAAGCAACTTCAATTAGTTTTTTTGAGAAAATAAATTATGTCAAACAACTATCAGCTAACCGCTAATAGCTAATTTACCAAACACATTTTTACAATCAGCTAATGTTATCAACTAGTTATACCCTTTAATCAATCTAATCAACTAACAGCTAACAGTTATCTGCTAACAACCATCTACCAAATAGGGCCAAAATTTTTTGTGAAATCATCTAACAAATTTTCACGATTTTTTTCATAAGTATTACACTTCCATTCATAAGTACTATAATTTTAAAGATAATTAATTCTTCAGCCCATAAGATTACATTTTGATTTAAAATTATTTCGGGGTACATTTTCATCAAAAGTCATATTTTTCTTCATAAGTAGTAATCAATCAATTGATCTGGGTTAGTATTACAATTTTTTTTTATAAATAATTATTTAATCTCTAAATATTTTATTTTAATTTAAAAGTATTACATTTTTCTTTAAAAATATTACAATTTTTCTTATAAGTAACAAATAATTTTTCAACATAAAAATTACATTTTCATATTGATCGATCCATTGTCACGAATAAAGTCCCCAAGTTCAATTATTCTCTTACTAACCCAAATAATAATAAATAAATAAATAACCAAGTGGTTTATAGTCCACTGGTATCGGATTGCTCCCTTAGAGCATCCACATTTGTGGATTATTTGGAGATATTTTAGACATTAATTCTCCCCACTCAAGATAATAGCTAATGTGGGGAAGAATTATTTGAGAGATAATTCTCATGCAAATGAAGGGAGATTTCAGACAATGGTGAGTCCCACCAAAAAATTAAAATAAACCATCACAGGTAACAGCCACGCGCCACGCGTGGCTGTCACCATAGCGCGCCTGACATTCTTATTTTTTTTTTTTTTTTATTTTAAAAATTTAATTTCCCTTTTTTTTTCTTTTTTTTTCTCTCCCCACCCATCTTCTCTTTCCTAATCACTCTTACATTATCCCCCAATTCTCCCCAACAAATGTGGATGCTCTTATGTGAGAGGTCTAGGTTTCAAGATCTCCCTTCCTTTGTAATAAACATAAATTTAGAGGTCTCATTTTGTAATTATGACTTATTATGGTGAAGTTAGTGCAATACTGCAATATACATATATTTTCATTTTCATTTCCCTACTAAATCAGGAAAAAGTGAGTAGTCAGCCCGACAGCCCGTACTAGGTAAGCTTCAGTTTCTTTCTTTAATGGCGACAGCTATCGATTCCACCGCCTTTGCCACTTGTTTTTCAACTAAACCTCGTGCTGCTCTCCGCCTCTCGCCGCCGTCGTCAGCTCTATTGCACCGCCGTTCTCTACCAAACGTATCCGCTTTCAAGCTTTCCGCCAACTCAAAAATTTCTCGCCGCGCAGGAAGTATTGTTTGCGAAGCTTCCGATATCGCCTTCGAAGGTTACATAACCCCCTTCCCTCATTTTTAGGCTTATTTACAATCGTAACCACAATAAAATCTGGATTTTCTTATTTCTAAATGAAAATGTAAATTTAATGCTTCAAAGCGGAGGTAATTTGTGATGCGTTCTTTTCCGGTCAGGTTTATTATGTTATACTACCAAATACTCGATTTTGAAATAATAATAATAATAATAGATTTTTTTTAAAAAAATTTTTGTTGGCTGTACTTGTAGAAAAATTTGTAAATAATGTATCAGTGTCAGTGATGAACCTATATGAATGAGAAAATATATAGATTTCTTATGAGCTGGCTAAAGAGTTTGGACATATTTTAATTTATCATGGCGAGTTTAAGCCTTTTAATAGCATCCTGATGTTCTTCATTGAGTCCAAGGGAGTCTGAACTTTCAAGGAGGTAAGTAGACATGAATAAGAAAGACTATGATTAATCTGAAGTTTAAGCATTTTGTACATTTTCTGTGTGATTTCATTACATGATTATTTATTGGTTTCCAGGGGGGGTATTGTATTAGGGTAAAGAATTTATGTGCATAAGTTTGAGAAGTTATTTGATGGCTTCATTATACTTCATCATACTGAGATGAGAAAATATGTCAAGGAAACCGAAACCTTTCAGTCTAATTTGATCAAGTGTCTTCATTATTAGCAACAGAGTCGAGTTCATTATTTGTAAAATTGTTTCTTTCTGAGATATGTGCATGCCAGAATTTATTTTCAAAGTTCATTAGCTAATGCTATAGCTGATACCAAAGATGATGAAATATTCAAATTTATTAAAGAAGAGACATAAGAGTTTCAATTTTTGGTCACTTCAAAATCCAAAATTTAGGATTTTTTTTTTTCACTTTGATTATCTATCTTGTTTGTATTTTTGATTTAGCTGCAGATCACCTGAAGTTTGTCAAAACATGATATGAGGGGTCAGTAACTAGTTTAGACAAAAAGAGGTAGAAGAGAGATGCTAGGAAATGTAAAATGCAAAATTGAACAGAAAGATGGAAAGGAGGTTTGATAAGGAACTTGGTAACTAAAGATTTGGTTGCTAAGATGTTTACTTAGGTTCTTGGTGTCATGTCACTATCAGAATATGGGATGCCCTTCTATTAGATGAATCTTTTCAATGCCCAGAATAATTTCTCCAGCAAACTTTTTCCATGATAAGAGTATGGGCCAGCTTGTCAACTTTAATCACTTGTTTGTGATTTTTTAAAAAGTAACTTGTTTTACAATTACAACACCCACTATTATGTTGCACTAGTATATATTTGGATAATTATTGGTCACTCATGCTGTTTATTTTGCTAATATAAAGTAAAACGTGTCATGTTGTGTGTTTCTATTTTCCTTAATTAAGTATCAGTCAAGAATCAAAGTTCTAGTTCTTCCTTTTTGCACTGTTATGCGGCTCCATTACAAACAAAGCTTCAACTCTTCACCTTTCAATCTCAACCCCATTACTTCACAAGTGTTATGTAGACTAGTGAGGAAAGGATGCAATGATTAAGCAGGAAAAAAGGACTTAATCATTGCAAATGGAAGGGCATCTTCACAAATTTCTAATGTGCATCTCTAATGGTTATGCTCATATTTCCTAGTTTCTCTTTGGAACTCCTCCGATCCTGATCCTTCCTTTGCTTCACTCTTCTTGTTTTCAGTTCCTTCTGTAACAAAGGACACATGGGAATCACTTGTTCTCCAATCAAGTGGACCCGTGGTGGTTGAGTTTTGGGCATCATGGTGTGGACCTTGTCGCATGTTCCATCCGGTAATGAATGAACTGTCAAAGCAATATTCCGGAAGGGTGAAGTGCTTCAAACTGAACACAGACGATAGTCCTTCAGTTGCAAGCCAATATGGAATCAGAAGCATCCCAACGGTAATGATCTTCCTCGACGGTAAAAAGAAGGATGCAATAATTGGCGCTGTACCTAAGACCACTCTAACTGCCTGCGTCGAAAGATACCTGTAGAGGCACTTGGGTTCTCACCAAGGTTCTCAGGTTTTCTCTTCCATTTAGTGTTCTAAATTTTCCTTATGTTATGTACAGTTCTGCATCTAACTTGGCACCTTGCATCTGCTCTCGCCAGTTTCTGTTTTATACAATCTTGGAATCAATAAAAACAAGTTCTCTGCCTATGTTATATGCCTATATTGTTTGTTTTCATGTTTCCAGCCTGTTTCATATGCTACAGAAGAGTTCTGTCACTATTCGATTTTCAATCCAACAGGCCCAAAACAATCTACTAGTCCACTGATTGCACCTTATTGCTATAATGCCAAAGTAGGGATCAAGAATGGGTCACTTTTCAAGGTCCCCACTTGGCCCTTATGATTCATTATTATTTTACAATCACATAAATCTTATCAAGATCTTTTTATTTTAAATATTAAGCATTATACATGCTTTGTTTTTGAATACTACCGACTCTGTTACAATGTAGTATCTGTTTATAGTTACTTTCTCAACCTACTGAAACACAAAGAGTTAATACCGTCTCCACTAGGGCTCATTTGGGAGAGTCATTTCATGATCCCAGCAAGCTAAGATCCAGCTGCACTTGGAATGTTCCGAAATATAACGCTTCTGTGATACTGTGCAGTCTGCTTCAATTCTGGTTTTCAACCTTTGATTCTACCATGACAAGACCTTTTTCCTACCACTCCAATTGCGAGTAATATAGTATTATACCATTTATATAATTTAATGGCGCATCACTTTCATTCAGACATCCTTAATACTAGAAAGTAGGTAGAAACCTCCAAATTTAATTTGGAACATATTCATCTCTGCTGAACAAAGTTGAGGGGCGTGCACGCGGTCGATCGATCAACTCCCACGTTGCAATTTGCAAATAAAGAAAAATCAAAGGCGATCTGCTGCTAGTGTCATCTAGTACTACTGGATAACTATAGTTTAGTGTTATCTTGATTCTTGAATAAATAAATAATCTTATTTTATTTGAAGAATCAAACATGAGAGGCATGGGAGGAGTAGCTTATAAGCCTGTCGAAACATAATTATGTACAGTATGCAATCTTGGGTTATTCGCGTATCTATTCACAAGAGATATACTGGCTGTGATCCTGCTCCTCGATCAATTTAATGGTGTGTTTAAAAATTTAGAAAATGATTTTTGATTTTCACTTTTGAGTTGATACTCTATTTGACTATAAAAAATAATAATTATTTGATGTTATATATTTGTCAATTTTATTGTTGGTACTAATGAGTAAATGCCTGGTTTAGTTTGGATAAGTTTTTGCAGGCCTCATAATAACCTTCGGGGAATCCTAGATTCACAAGGCAAACAATATTCCTCGTTTAACGTAGCTATCCATACTAAATATCTACAACTGTAATTAATTCTTACCAGAATCAAAGTGATTAAAAACGACAATTATGCCAGCAAGCTAAGATCCAGTTGCACTTGGAATGTTCCGAAATCTAACGCTTCTGTGATACTGTGCAGTCTGCTTCGCTTCTGGTTTTCAACCTTTGATTATTCTGCCCAGGGGCGGCACATTGTTACTGCAGGGGCCTTGCCCCTCCACCCTCCCCCCCAAAAAATAAATTAATAATACTAATATGGGTGGAGCCGTGGAGGATTTATTAGAGGATTTATCAGTCGTGTGGCAGTGTCGAATTAGATATACATATACTGTAGTGTCACTCCGTTAACACTAACGACGCGCGGTCTCTTTACTTATAGAAACGGTGTCGTTTTGATGCGCGGTGCATAATCGACTAACAACGCCTCTTTACTTAAAGAAACTGCATCGTTTTGATGCGCGGTGCATAATTGACTAACAGCGCTCCGTCTCTTTACTTAAAGAAACGGCGTCGTTTTGATGCGCGGTGCATAATCGATTATGCACCGCGCATCAAAACGACGTCGTTTCTTTAAGTAAAGAAACAGCGCGCTGTTAGTGTTAACGGAGTGACAGTGTATCTAAACCGACACTGCCTCACGTATTATTTTTATATTATCAAATGAAACTGCAGTTATATCAAAATGATACTGTAGTTGTGGTGAAATGAAATTGCAATATATATAAAATGAAACTGAATAACATTTCAAATATTTGAGTGTATATTGTACAATGAAGCCGTAATTATATTGAAATGATCATGTAGTTGCGTTTTAATGAAACTATAGTGTATATCTACGATACTAAATTTTATACTTTTACACTAAAAGATTGATCAAATTTAAATTTTACACTAAAATTTCCTAAAATACCCACAACCGTTACTAATTCCGTTAAAATTTTAAGAATTGTCGTTAGTTCACCGTTAACTTACTCATTGATTTCAATAAAAAATGGTCTTAGGTTCGAACCTCATCCCAATCAAAGTTGGCATAATTAGTACTCTATTTTACTCTTATTAAATTATATAAATAATAATTTAGTAGTTACAACAAAAAATAATACATATGCATTTCTTTAATTTAGAATTATGTGTCCACAATGCCTTTATTCAAAAAAAAAAAAAATTATTCATTATCAATCAATTAAATAAGAGAAATAATTTTATTAGTTATATTGTCTTTATTTTTCTTCAATATAAAAATTCTTTATATTCAAATTTATTAATTGATTATATTCGCTACATTATCCTTACAATGTCTTTATTCAGTGAAAAAAATTTAAATTATCAATAAATTAATTAAAAGAAATATTTTCATTAGTTATATTGTCTTTATTTTTCTCAAATGTAAAAATTTTTACATTCAAATTCATCAATTGATTATATTCACTACATTATCTATTATCTTTTTTGTGCACTATTTTTCTAATTAAATATCAAAGTTATAATACAAAATAATGTTATATATATTTATTTACCAAGTATTTTATTAATACCATGAAAAAATTAAAAAAATATAATTAATAAAGTCAACCATATTAACTACTTGAGAGATTTTGTGACAACGAGAGTATTCAAATCACACAACAAATTGAAGTGAGAACTACCTCGCAATGTCCTTGTTTGACAATCAGCAGTTAGCGGTTAACGTTAGCGGATTATACTAGCGGATTTGACCAGCGAATTTATTTAATTATTAACATTGGATAGAAAAAATGACCGCCAAATTATTAAATCAAATGAATGGTTCATATTGTTCAGGTTTTAATTTTTTCTTTTAAGATTTTCTAATTTATCCTTAATTATATGATTATCCATTTAACTTTTCCGTTAATTCACCGTTAGTCTAATTCTAATATTAAAGTCTAATATAGAATTATAACTACATCATTAATCTAATTCTAATATTAAAGTCTTAATAGAACTTAACCACAAATCCTAATGTCGGAATCTCCTCAGACAATATTAGTATATATTTAATATTTTATGTCATAATTTTTATTTGTTCTCCCTTATGTCCCGTATTTGGTTTCTAACGATACCTATACAATTATTTTATTGACAATTATAATCAATTTTAACTATATTATCTTGCATTTGTAAACTTAGAATTACCTATTTAACCCGCACGGGCTTAGCTCAATGGTTTAGTGGGTAGTATTTGGGAAAAGAGACGAAGGTTTGAACCTCGGCGGCGGCAGTGCGGGAATTATGTCCAAAGTGGGCAGATTCCTTGTGCGTATCAGCATTTGGCCCTGTCTGCTGAACCATTGAGTCACCGTGATTTACAACTTCCCACAATGCTCTGTCAGGTCTGAGTGTGGGGGGCCCTTGGGGTTGGGGACTCAACCTCTAGGAGAAGAATTACCTATTTAAATACGCAAATTCAACCTTCAATTATCTATGCATGAACAATTTCAATATAATCCTGTCTTAATATACTTTAAAGTACTTATTTAAAAAAAAACATTGGGCATTATCCCAATCGCGCAATGCGCGTAAAAAACTAGTAAAATAAAATAAAATAACATTTTGACATATTTGAGTGTATAAATATTGAATGAAACTGTAGTTATATTGAAATGAACCTGTAGTTGTGTTGAACTGAAACTGTAGTGTATACAAAATGAAACTGAAGAACAGAGTAATTTTTTACGAAACGGCGCAAAACAGATTCTGTTTCTTTTCATTAAATAAAACGACGTCATTTTGATGCACGGTGCACGATATAATTTGCCGGATTTATTAACTGGGCGTCTTGGGCCCTTGGCCCCCCTTCCCCAACAAAATATTAATAGTATATTATTATTTTTTTGGCCCCCTTTACCAAAGTATCAATCGTTATGCTGTAGAACCGTGTCCATTTTGTAAGGTAGACACAGTTCTATGTTCATAATTACTGAACTATATGTTCATAATTATAAAACTATATATTCATAATTTTTGAACTTTATATTCATAACTATTGAACTCTATATTCACAATTACAGAACTCTATGTTCATAATTACTGAATTATATGTTCATAATTATAAAGCTATATTTCATAATTTTTGAACTTCATATTCACAATTATTGAATCTATATATTCATAATTACAAAATTATATGTTCATAATTATGTTCACAATTATATGTTCAAAATTTTTGAACTATATATTCATAATAATGAACAATTTTATTATTGATTGCAATGCATCTTGTGTCATCTACTAAGTTGCTTATTCAAAATTTAAGAGATAGTGGATAGGATAAATTAGTTGCAACTGTGAAGTCTTTTTGTGAAATTGTCAACATAATTGTCCCGAATTTTGATACTCAATATATCGCAAGAAGAGAAGGTCTAGGCATCGATCAACAAGATGAATTAACAATTGAACATCATTACAAATTTGATATTTTTAATGCTGTGATTAATTCTTAGTTACAAGAGTTGAGTAATGTGTTTGATGATAAAATAATGGAGTTAATTATTCTCAGTTCATCGTTAGATCCAAAAGAGATGCGTATATCATTCAGAATTAATGACGTTTGCAAGTTGGTAGAAAAATTTTACCATTAAGTTATGAAGTGTAATTATTCTCAATTTATCATTATTCTCTCTCAAATTAATATTAAACTCGCACCAACAAATCTTGGCCCTGATTCTGCCTTGACAAGACCTCTTTCCTAACATCCCAACTGAGATTAATATAGTATTATCCCATTTATATAATTTATAATGGCGCATCACTTTCACTCCGACATCCTTAATTGTAGAAAGTAGGGAGAAA